AGAAGAAAACAAGATAAAGAGGAAAATTTTTGTAAAAAAATTAGAAATTAAGATTATAATTTTATTGCCAAGAAATCTGAGAGAGCAAGTAAATCTCAATGAAGATAGCGAGAAAGATCCACGTTATTTTAACATCATTGAAATCCAAAAGCATTGAATTTTGTTCCCAAGATAAAATAATATATACTCATCAACAAGAGAGGAAAAAAACCAAATAAGGAGAGAAACATTATCATAAATAAATAAATTAAAAATTAAGATTATTATTTTGGTTGCCAAGATATTTGAGAGAGGAACTTAATCTCAATGGAAATTGTGAAACAAAGTCCCTTTTTTTTAACCATCGAGCATTGAGACACAAAAGCAATTAATTTTTTTCTAAAAATTTCTTGGGAAACAAACTAATATATAAAGTAAAATAAAGCAATAGATAACATGTATTCATCAAGAAGAAAAACATATAATCATAAAGAAAATATTAAACAAAGAATTATAAGAGAAGAATAATAATGAAAAAAAATATATTAAAAAATAATTACCAAGTACCTAAATTAAACAATGCCATAATTAAGGAAACCGAAAAATTGAGAGTTAAGATTATAAATTTGACTGCCAATGTATCTAAAAAGGAACTTAGTCTCGATGGAGACAGCAAGAAAGATATCTATTTATTTAACATCACACATTGAGACCCAAAAGCAATTAATCTCGTTCTAAGTATTTCTTGGCAAACAAACTAATAGATAAAGTAAAATAAAGCAATAAATAATATATATTCACACTACAAGAATTTACACAATTGTCGACCACTTTTGCCGACCAAAAATTTTTTGGTCGCAAAAAAATGATATTTGGCGACTAAATATTAATTAGTCGCGAATGATCGTTATTTTTGGCAACCAAATATTATTGGTCGCAGAAGGTTATATTTTGGCAACCAAAAAATGAGTTAGTCGCAGAAAGTGGTATACTTTTGCCGACCAACTACAAATTTGGTCGCGGAAGGTCATATATTTTTTGGCGACCAAAAATTTGGTCACCAAAAACTTATTTTCAGCAACCAAAAAAAATTAGTCGCCAAATTAGTACTTTTAGCGACTAATATTTTAGTCGTCGTTGATTGAGATTTAAGGCGACTAAAAAAGTTTGTCAGCAAAAGAACCTTTTCTGCGACTAATATGGTCTTTTGGTCACCAAAAGTGTGGGGGGGAAATTTGAAACATGGAGGGGGGAAATGAATACCAATTCGTAAGAAATGAGATTATCCATTCCCGCCACTGCCATACGGGAATGGCTCTTTCGTTCCTCTCAGTCTCAGGTCGGCCATCGACCTCTCTCATCAGTTGCCTCGCCGCCCCTCCAGCTCCGCCGCCACCAAACCCTAACCCAACCGCCTTACCCTCCTTAACCTGCACCCTCCAGTGCCCTCACTTCCAATCGTACGCACCACCACTGCAGTTTCGAAGCTCCATCGAAGCTCCAGATCTGAACTCTGGCCCCTCGATTACTCGCATTTCAAGTAATATGCACATTTCGACCCAATTCTTCCTTTCCCAAGCCGCTCGACTCGGTACACTTTCGGTGAGTCCTCTCTTTCTCTCTCTACTTAGATATGTCCATGTATCTGTATATGTATTTGTTGATTATGTTGATCTTTAGTCTTTACAGCTTACCATGTAGAATATGAGATGTTATTAAAGTAGAGTTCAATGGGTTACTGATGATTTCCACATCTAAATTTGTGTTCCTTGATTAAGTGTATATGTATATATATTTTTTTTGTATAGACACAAATTGGTGAATTTTGACAGTGTTTGTTCTTCAACTTGTAATTTGGTGATCATCTAATTCTTTATACCTTTCTTTGTGATTATTTGTTTTTCCTCACTGTCTCTTTCTTTCACACAAAGTGTTTGATAAAATGCCAAGGTGAAATTTATATAATTTGTTGGACTTGAAACTGATGCACACTGTGTATTATGTAACAATGAGAATTTGCTGAGAAATGAAGAAGAAATGGTTGAGTAGTGGAATGTGTATATATGAGCAGATCAAGTGAAGAAAAAGAAAGAAAATAGAGCTTCAAAGAAGAAGATGAGAAATAATTCTTATTTTCTGCAGATTCAATACATCACAACTTCACATAATATATTTCTTGACTTTCTCATCTCTCTCACACCCCTTTTTGTAGCAGATTTTCTCTAATTAACTGCCAGTTGGTTATACTTCTAGTAGGGTTTTTTCTTTTTCTTTTTTCGGTTGATAAATACCTCTAGTTTGTCTTCTCTCCATTTGCCATGTCATGTAACAACCCAACAACTAAGAATAGTTCTATCAATTTGCCATGTCATGAACCATTCTATCAATTGAGTTAAGCCTAATACTAAAACCTGGAAGCAAAAAAAAAGTTTTGTTTGGCAAAGAGTTCTGTCTACTCCATTGTCACCAGGAGTGGGTTAACTAAGACCATTTTGAGCAGTTTATCTCCAGGGAAAGAATTCATCTGTAGACTGTAGCATATTTGAATTTTGTGACTGTGCCTAAAGTTTGACTCTTTTTGTGATTATATCATTGAAATTGACATACGCCTCCCATGAGGTCCTCTTGCATATTGTGTTGAAGCTCAAAGAAAAGCACCTTATTTGGCTTCAATAAGCGATCCCTTGAAACTTTCAATGTGCTACTTCTTCATAATTATTTTCACAATTGGTTTTTGTTTGTGGTGGCTAAACATCTCTCTTATACCTCCTAATTTTTGTGGGAGTACACAATATTCTATTCACTAGAAATTTTTTTAGCCTTCGTTATCCTTCCCAAACAAAGGAAACTTCCTTGGCAACATCACGATTCTATGGGTGGGTGATGAGACCACCCCTTTGGAATCACAAGTCTGTTCATCATTGAATAATGAGTCTATTCATCATCATAAGGTATATTACATGATATTTTTTGTGTATCTATTGTTATAGGGCAACAAAAAATCTTTGCGTGTTAATGAGCCATAGTTTCAAAAGCATTGGAAGCTTTAACTTGTTTTGAAGAAATATAATTTTTAATATGATCATTGGGCATGGAATTAACTTACATATCATCTTCTTAACTGATACTTGGCAATATTATTAAGGTCGGGCTCTTGGCCTCATGGTGACTTGGGCTTGTAAAGGTGTCCTACAATGTGTTTAAACACCATTGGATGCATTACCTATGTGCTCCTTTTTGTTTATTACGTCTTTTCTTTTCTGTCATTTATATGAATTGAATGTTGTTTGTAAGTTTGTAGTTTCTGCCTTGTAGGTTGAGCAGTTGCATAAATTTTTTAAGCTTTGTGGCTTACCCTCTGAGGAATACTAGAGAAAGTCAAAGTTGCCTCATGCTACCATTTTCAAGCCCCAACAGCCTTATAGACGCTGTGTTGCAGATACATTTAAGGACTTCCCTGCACAAGCCTTAGAGCTTATGGAGACCCTACTTTCCATAGATCCTGCTGATCGTGGTTCTGCAGCTTCTGCTCTACATAGTGAGGTATGAACTATGAAGTTTCTTAAAAGTTGAATTTTCTGGAATGCTCTTGGTTCTCTTGAAGATTTACCCTTTTATATGGCTGACTTTGGGAGCACTAAGTTAAAATGATGTGAACAATAGGCATGTCGCTTGCCTTCCTGTCAATTTGGATAGAAAGTATAACATCTACAATTTAATCCAAGAGTATGAGGGTAACTTTATTTAAGAATCAGGAACATGAAGTGCTTAAAGGGCAAACAACAAGGTAGGATGAATTTTTATATGGGCCTTTCAAGAGCAAAGCTACAGAACAGCTTTATTTAAGAATCAGGAACATGAAGTGCTTAAAGGGCAAACAACAAGGTAGGATGAATTTTTATATGGGCCTTTCAAGAGCAAAGCTACAGAACAGCTTTATTTAAGAATCAGGAACATGAAGTGCTTAAAGGGCAAACCACAAGGGGTAGAAGTACATACCTCCTAACCTTAGTTATAATTTGCCAAAAAAAATAAAAAAAAAAAAAAAATTCCATTGAAAACAAACAGATCCTACATCATGACCCATTTGATTTCTCTCTCTACAAAAGTGGAAACCCACTTTTTCTTTCTTCAAATTAGAAAACCGTTATCTGCTTGGGCCTTTTATATATATGTACATATGTATACATATGGAGAATATTTGAGAGGATATTCTAAGGATCACATCCTTTTTTTTAATTCTATTTAAAGAGAAGAATAGCAATCCTAATCAATACATTTCCCTTCTTTTTGCCTCCAGCCGCCAAGACCATCTCGCCTTTTTAAAAAAAACTTATTCTCAGCCGTCTCGCTCTTGCTGGGTGTGCTTTTTTCCTCTTTCTGAAATTCTCGAATTCCTCTCATTTGTCTCACGCCAGTGCTCCAAAACTCTTCGAATACAAAGTCTGCCAAACTCATTTTTAGCCCACTATCTGCAAGCAAATTGAGACAAGACCCAGCCTACCATCTTCCTCAACGAAGCTCTGCTTCTGCAATACCGTGACCACCGTTGTTTGTTCACTGCCCACTGTTACAATCATCGAAGACCACACAAGCCACCACCGCCGGCCTTCGTGAGTCACTGTTGGCGCCGACCATGACGCCCTCTCAACGCGTCGCTGGTCGGTCCAGCCGCCTGAAATTCCTCTGACTGATTTGGCTCTCGAAATATCAGTGCTCACGGTGCTGCCAACCTGTCTTGGCTGTCCCCGGCGCCGGCTCTACCAATCTCGTTCTTTATTTCTTCAGCCCAAGCCGTGACTAACTAGCGCCAACCACGTCGCCGACTCAACGCGGCGTTGGTCAGTTGCTATTTGATTGTAATGAAACTTAGAATCTGTTAGGTTCAAAGCATCCCCTAAATCCAAAAATATATTTTCAGCTCCCAAAACTCTCAAACCTGTTTTTGAGAATAAAATATATTACTGTAATATATAACTTGATCATAAGTTTTAAAAGTAATTTATAAATGAACGAAAGGAAAAGATAAATGCATAAGTTTTATGGACCATGATAGTTAGAATCTAATAAGCACCTCTTGCAAGAGAGGTAAGGTTCATTAAATTTGAACTAGCTGTTTGAATCCCTTTTAGTATCCAGTATTTCTTTGTATTTAACTACATATTTAACCCAGAATAATTTATAATTGAAATAGTTAGTTCTTGCCATGTAAAGCACAATAACTGCTCTACAAATGGCAAGGGCTCTGTTTGAATGAGAGATAATGTGTATGTACTTTAATTAATTAAATATAGATTCATCAATGTTGAGTCTGTGAATATGTTAATTTGGTGAACTTGGAAATTTGTGTGTGGAGGGATGACTATAATCCTGGAAAATGTGATTAGGCTTATACTGAAGTTTTATTTCAGGTATCATTTTCTGCCTGCCGATATGCCTTATTATGACAATTGGAAACTCTGCACTAATTTTGGGTCTCTGGTCTGTTCACTTTTTGTGGACAAATTATTGCATTGTAAGGTGTGTTATTGGACTCCTCAATATCCATATATCATTTCTTTACCCAATTATCTTCTCTAGCGTGTAGTGATTGCTTTCTCACTTCTTTGATGACAGATCTAAGCAGTTTGGGCCAGTTTTGAAGTTTGTTCTGTGTTTATTCATTTATGTTTTTTTGATTTTGTGGCCATCCATTGGCATTGTTGGAAGTATTATTGGTGGCGCTGCATATGGCTTTCTCGCACCAATGTTTGCCACTTTTAAAGCTGTCAATGAAGGGAAGACTGATAAATTTTACCACTGTATTTATGTATGTTTGAAATGTCCCAACTATTAATGTTTTTAAAATTCGATGTTCTTTGAATCTTTGTTGCCTTTGATGCTGATAAATTCCCTAACTATTAATGCTGTAGGATGGAACTTCTGACACTGTCAAACAGAGCTTTACTTTTGTGAGGGATTTTATGGATATATGTTACCATTCTTACTTCTCAGTTACGGATGACCTACGGAGTCAGGGGCATCAAGATGGAAAATATTTTGAGATTAGGTCTGTTGTTTGTGCTTTTAATGTTTGGAACTATTGTTTGTTTTAGACTCTTATCAATTATCAATTTGTTTCAGACTATAAACCTGAAGTAGAATTTTTATTCTCATATGGAAATCCTCAAAATGAACAAAATTGGCCAGCCTGTTAGAACATTTATAGTATCTTGCAGTCAAATGCTTGATTCAACACATGCCGTTTTGATCCCCAGTCTTGTGGTTGAAAGTCGAAACATCATGGTTGCCACATGTCATTTTATTTCCTAATTTTAGATATTTACTTTTGATAAACAAATAACCTTAGCAGCCAATTCCAAATCATAAAAGTAGATACTCTCATGCAGTTGGAAAGAAACAGATCTCTTGATTACTTTCGTAGAGTTGATTAGTTTTTTTTTTTGGTAAACCTCGGCGGCACGAGAGGAAATATTGATAATCCAAAACCGAGATGGGGACATAATGAACCTTACCTCTCTTGCAAGAGTTGATTATTGGATTCTAACTATCATGGTCCATAAAACTTATGCATTTATCTTTTCCTTTCTTTCATTACTTTTCCGCTTCATCCTCAAAGAAGATCGCTGCCTCCTTTCTTGCTCCTCCTCCGCCTTCGCCGTTCTTCATTGCACCATCCCCCTCCTGTGCCCAAACTGATGGATCTGCCGCATGTGAATCGTCAAATCGGTGTGATTTCGGTTTGATTGGTGTGATTTGGGTTTGATATTTTTTCCCCTTCTCTCTCTGTTCTTCTCCTTCATTTCATGAATACATACATTTTTAGAAGTCTATACAACCCAGTGCAATAATTTAATCCACATGGGATGTAACAAAATCCCTGAAAAGAACAGTATGCATGTTTTAACCGTGCATGCAACGATGTTTTAAAGGATAAGGTGTTAGAAATTTCAATTTGACGAGGCTATCAAAATTGAGCCAAGATCTTGTGAGTGAATGGACATAACCAAATAACCACGGTAGGAATCATGTCCTCCTATTTACATAAAACAGGAAGGAATTGAAAATAAGTGAGTGCAACATACCAACGTTTCCAGTCCAACCATTTTCAACTCATTTTCCATCACACTCTCATCGGGGATTAGCACAACATCACCAACCTGGAAAAACAGTACACCTTACACTCAATTATATTGAACAATGGAATTGATGAACAACAATAACAAAGAATAATGTAACCACTAAACCATTTACATTCAATTAGATACCATTTGTTCACTTGGGTGAAGGATCCTCAGGACACAAAAAACCATGTAACCATTACCTCTCATAACATTGTCTGAATAAAACAAGATATCTCACAACAGTAACAGGTCTCTTAAGCTCACCATCATGCCACATAGAGTAGTGTTCATTAACTCTATATGAATCTATATAACTTAAAATATAAACAAATCACAAAAGATCAAGGATCCTTATGCCACCTTTTTTCCAAAAAATAAATAAATAAATCCAAAAACAACCAGCACATCAGCCATTGTTGCTGTCAATGTATTATCTTCACCTTTCAAGTTATCACACTCATTTTATATGGAAAGAAAACAACTATGTCAGGGATATCACACATCGCTAAAACATCAAACATGTGTTCGCAGACAGGCTGACAAACACACACACGCGCACACAGCACAACTGAAGAGGAAAATGTTTACCTGACTAATATCCTCCAGAAAAAACCTTTCTAATTCCCCAGAAAGATTTCATAGACCTAGCCGTTTTCGTGGAAAAAGAAGAGATGAAGAATAATGAAGAAGAATAATTAAGCTGATATTACCCCAATATCCATTGAACACCACGCCACACCTCACCTCACTCACTAATGATTTTGAAAGAGTTATTTGTTATGATTGGCAGCACTTATTAACTGTCCTTTTGGTTCAAAGGGGTTTTATTATTTGTTTGGATTTGTTTTATTATTTGATTTCTTTAGGCAGAGCACTGGCTGGTGTGCATTATTTGATATTTAATTTTTTTTTTATATTTGATTTGTTTGGAATTGTAGAGTATAGTCTGTTAAATATATTTTTATAACTACATTTTAATCTTAATATTATTTACACCGTGCCTTTAGGCACGGGCATACGCTAGTTTTTTTATATCACTAATCAATACATGCATGATAAATATAAAGTAATAAATTAGTATTTGCTTTTTCTAATACTTATCTCTAAATAAAAACGATTAGAAATAAAACTATCCAATAGTCACAAACTTAACTTTTTTCCAGGTATAAAAAGTTCCGTTTTACAAGTAGACTACCTACCTTCCCTTTGAGGAGTGAATTGGTTGGGTTAATCAATTGAACGACCTCTGGTAGTCAAGTGCCACACCCCTTATCCGATCTTCCGACATTGGCATCTCCCTTTGTATCTGCTCCAATATTGCCATGTAATGAAACCTGTTCATCATCCATTCATTCATTATTTATCAATCTAGATATATAGGTTGCCAAAATAGGAGTTTAATTTAATTCACATGAAAGGTTCATTGAGGAAGATAGGAGTTATTGACAATATGGATCAATTTCAGTTGCCGTGTTTGGTTTCTGCTGTGTGGCACTATATTGGATCTGGAATGGTGGTTCATCCAATTTATTCTATAGACATAAAAATGCTATTGTTTTATTTACAATTTGATAATGGTAGTCATTTTAATTTGCTAATCTGACCTTTGCTTTTCATGGACATTTTTCATTATTTGTCCAATTTGAACTGACATTATTTCTCTTTTTCTTTGGTACAGATGGATGAACTCGTGCACAAAGCTAAATTGTACAGGACAAATTGGTACTTTTTGTATTTTTGGAAGGATTATATATTTTTGTATAGATGTATATGAAAAATATTAGGGTAGACTAGTAGTTATATTTTTTGATACACTACTAGTTATATTTTTGGATGGGTGTGTATAGAAAATATTTGGTAGACTACTAGTTACATTTTTGGGTTGATGTACATGGATAAAAATTTAAAACATAATAACAAGCACTTGTTATGTGTTTAATTTTTATGCTAGATGAAATATGTAGTTTCGAATTATTTGTGGATGTAAATTTATAATAGTTGCTGACTTTAATTAAACAGGTTCAGAAATGGTTGATATATGTATTTTGTTGAATGTTGATGATTCAATTTATTTGTTGGTTTGAATGATTTCTTCTTTTTACAGATTATATTGAATAAATTGGATGAATTATTATAAATTACAGGTTTATTTTGTTGGGTATTGGCGACCAAAATTTGGTTTTGATTTTATAGTTTTGGCGACCAATTGATTAGTCGCGAAATGTCACAATTGGCGACCATAATTTTTGGTCGCGAAATGTTTCAATTGGCGACCAAACAAATTTTGGTCGCAGAATGTCACAATTGGCGACCAATTGATTAGTCGCAAAATGTCCCAATTGGCGACCAAAAAAATATTGGTCGCAGAATGTCACAATTGGCGACCAAATTTTTTGGCCGCGAAATGTCACAATTGGCAACCAAACAAATTTTGGTTGCAGAATGTCACAATTGGCGACAAATTTTTTGGTCGCGGAATGTCATGATTGGCGACCAAAATTTTTTGGTCGCGGAATGTCACAATTGGCGACCAAACTTTTTGGTCGGGAAAATATCACTTTTCGCGACCAAAGTGTTTTGGCGACAAAATAAATTAGTCGCGAAATCCAACTTTTGCCGACCAATCACAATTTTGGTCGCGAATTACTTTTGCCCACCCTCAATTGGCGACCAAAGTAACGACCAAAAAAATTGGTCACGGATAACTTTTGCCGACCAAAAATTGACTTTTAGCGACCAATTTTTTTGTTGCCAAAAGTGTTAATTCTTGTAGTGTCATCAAAAAGAAAACCAAATATAATTAAACAAAAATCCTGAAAAATAAAGAAAATATTAAAGGACGAATTCAAAGACATGAATAAGAACTATGAAAACAAATCATTATATAAATAATTACCAAATAACCAAATTACAATACCATAACTCATAAAAATGTCATAACTAAGGAAACCGAGAAATTGAGAGTTATGATTATAAATTTCATTTCCAAGAAAAAATGTCATTACTAAGGAAACCGAGAAATTGAGAGTTATGATTATAAATTTCATTTCCAAGAAATCTGAAACATAGTTTCAATGGAGACTACAAAAAAGATGTACGTGTTTTTAAGATCAAGCATTGAGACCAAAAAAAGCAATGAATTTTGTTAATTGTATTTCTTGGCAAACAAACTAATAGACAAAATAAAATAAAGAAAGATAATATACATGTATATATTCATCAAGAAGAAAACAAAAAAATGAGAAAAAAATTATCAAAAATAAATAAATTATAAATTATAAATATGCCAATAAATAATATATATTCATCAAGTGGGAAACCAAATAAAGAGAGAAAAATTATCAAAAATAAAGAAACTAAAAAATAAGATTATAATTTTTGATTGCTAAGAAATCTGAACGAGGAAATTAGGCCCAATGAAGATTGCGAGAAAGATGTCCATTTTTTTAACATCAATCATTGAGATGGAAAAGCAACCAATTTTGTGCGACAAATTTCTTGGCAAAGAAACTAGTAGATAAGGTAAAATAAAGCAATAAATAATATATATACATCAAGAAGAAAATCAAATAATTATAGAGGAATAATTAAAAATAAAGAAAATATTAAACAAAGAATTATAACATAAGAATAATAACTATAAAAACAAAATATTATAAAATAATTACCAAATAACCAAATTAAAAAACCATTACTTATAAAAATGTCATAATTAAGAAAACCAAGAAAATCAAAGTTAAAGATTATAATTTTGATGGCCAAGAAATCTGAGAAGGAACTTAGTCTCGATGGAGATTGAGAGAAAGATGTCTATTTTTTTAACATCAAGCATTGAGACCCCAAAGCAATAAATTTTGTTCCAAGTATTTCTTGGCAAACAAACTAATAAATAAAGTAAAATCAATCAAAAAATAATAAATATTCACCAAGAAGAAAACCAAATAAAGAGAGAAAAATTATCAAAAATAAAGAAATTAGAAATTAAGATTATAATTTTCTTTGCCAAGAAATCTAAGAAAGCAACCTAGTCTCAATACAAATATTGTGAGAAAGATGTCCATTTTGTTAACAATAAGCATTGACACCCAAATAAAAGCAATCAATTTTGTTCCCACAACTTCTTCGCAAACAAACTAATATATAAAGTAAAATAAAGCAATAAATAATATATATATTCATCAATAAGAAAACCAACTAATTAGAGAAAAATAAAGAAAATATTAAAGAACAAATTTTAAGACAAGAATAAGAACTATGAAAGAAAAACATTATATAAATAATTACCAAGTAACCAAATTAAAATACAATAACTCCTAAAAATGCCATAATTAAGATTATAAATTTGATTGCCATGAAATTTTAAAAGGAATTTACTCAATGGAAATTGCGAGAAAGATGTCCATTTTTTTAACACCAACCATTGAGACCGAAAAGCAATGAATTTTATTCCTAGTATTTCTTGGCAAACAAACTAATAAACAAAGTAAAATCAAGCAAGATATAAAATATATTCATCAAGAGAACAAAAAAAAAAACAAAAAACAAAAACAAAACAAATAAGAAGAGAAGAATTATAAAAAATAAATAGTTAAAAATTATAACTTCGATTGTCAAGAAATTTGAGAGATGAACTTAGTCTCAATGGAGATTGTGAGCAAAATGTCCATTTTTTGTTTTTTATTTTATTTTTTAAATCAGGCAAAAGTAATGAATTTTGTTCCTAGTATTTCTTGGCAAACAAACTTATAAACAAAGTAAAATCAAGCAAGACATAATAATACATATTCATCGAGAAGAAAACTAAATAATGAAAGAAAAAAATACCAAAAATAAATAAATTAAAAATTATAGTAATTATAATTTTTATTGCCAAGAAATCTCAGAGAAGAACTTTGTCACAATGGAGATTGCAAGAAAGATATCCGTTTTTTTAACATCAATCATTGAGACGCAGAAGCAATAAATTTTGTCTAGAGGATTTCTTAGCAAACAAACAAATAGATGAAAACCAAATAATTATAGAAAAATAATTACAAATAAATAAATATATATATATATATCAAACAAGTAAAATAAAGCAATAAATATTATATTCATCAAGAAGAAAGCCAAATAATTATAGAAAAATAATTATAAATAAATAAATATATATATATCAAACAAAGAATTATAAAACAAGAATAACAACTATAAAAACAAAATATTATAAAATAATTACCAAGTAATTAAATTAAATAATCATAACTTATAAAAAATGTCATAATTAAGGAAACGGAAATATTGAGATTAAGATAATAAATCTGAGAAGAAACTTCGTCTTGATAGAACTGCGAGAAAGATGTCTATTTTTCTAACATCAAGCATAGAGACCCAAAGGCAATGAATTTCGTTCCCGGTATTTCTTGGCAAATGAACTAATAAATAAAGTAAAATCAAGCAAGATATAAAATAATATATATATATATATATATATTCATCAAGAAGAAAACCAAATAATTATAGAGAAATAATTAAAAAACAAAACCCAAATAGTACACATTAATGTGTTTGGAAAGGGAAAAATTGGGTACACACCTAACCTTTGGCATAGTGCACAAAGTAGTTGGCCTAAAATTTGAACCCATAACCTCAAG